ACAAAGGAAGAGGCCGCCACAACAAGACCAGACCGCATTGCCCAGATCGAGAATAGGAGCCGAACACGTAGCCTAACGTGCAGGGGGAAAATAGAGGAGCTTTTTTCTCTTGACTTACCGTGTGGTGATGAGGCGCACTCCCTGTCCGAGTGGAGCCACAACTGAATCCTCCTCCTCCTCCTCCTCCGCATCCTCACCATTGTCGTTAGGCGCACTGCCTGTCCGAGTGGAGCCACAACTGAATCCTCCTCCTCCTCCTCCTCCGCATCCTCACCATTGTCGTTAGGCGCACTGCCTGTCCGAGTGGAGCCACAACTGAATCCTCCTCCTCCTCCTCCGCATCCTCACCATTGTCGTTAGGCGCACTGCCTGTCCGAGTGGAGCCACGACTGAATCCTCCTCCTCCTCCTCCTCCGCATCCTCACCATTGTCGTTAGGCGCACTGGCTGTCCGAGTGGAGCCACAACTGAATCCTCCTCCTCCTCCTCCTCCGCATCCTCACCATTGTCGTTAGGCGCACTGCCTGTCCGAGTGGAGCCACAACTGAATCCTCCTCCTCCTCCTCCTCCGCATCCTCACCATTGTCGTTAGGCGCACTGCCTGTCCGAGTGGAGCCACAACTGAATCCTCCTCCTCCTCCTCCTCCGCATCCTCACCATTGTCGTTAGGCGCACTGCCTGTCCGAGTGGAGCCACAACTGAATCCTCCTCCTCCTCCTCCTCCGCATCCTCACCATTGTCGTTAGGCGCACTGCCTGTCCGAGTGGAGCCACAACTGAATCCTCCTCCTCCTCCTCCTCCGCATCCTCACCATTGTCGTTAGGCGCACTGCCTGTCCGAGTGGAGCCACAACTTTCGGCCCGCGTACATGCACGTCGGGGCCGTGCTGCGCTCGCTCGGCGTGGACACCGTCCTCGCGATGACGGCGACTGCGACCGCGCGCACGGCGGCCTCGATCTGCTCCTCCCTCTCCCTCCCTCCGGAGGGTGTGCTGCGGGTGGACGAGCTACGCGCGAACCTCGAGGTCTACGCCGAGATCCTCCCGCCGCCCGCGCGCGTCCAGCGAATCGTGCAGCTGCTGCGCTCCGAGCTGCCGCCACCCGACGCCGCCACCGCCGCCGCCGCCGCCACCGCCGCCGCCGCCGCCGCCGCCGCCGCCTCTGGCGGCGGCGGCGCTGCCGGCGGCGCTGCCGGCGGCAGCAGCGGGAGCGGCGGCGGCCGAGGCGCTGCAATTGTCTACACGCCGACGAAGGCGGAGGCGGAGCGGACGGCCAACGCGCTGCGCTCGCACGGCTGGAAGGCGGGGAGCATTGCCAACGCCGGCCGCTCCCCCGTCGGATCTCGGGCAATCTCGGGTGAGCTCGGGGGACCTGGCGACACCATCAGGCGGAGCACTACCACTCGGGCCGCCCCCCTTCGGAGCGGCGGCGGGTGCACGACGACTTTTCGCGCGGCCGTCTGCGCGTCGTTGTCGCGACCGTCGCGTTCGGCACGCGGCGCCTAGAAGCGGACGATCTCCCCATATCTCCCCCCGTATCTCCCCGTATCTGGCAGTGCGGGCGCCTAGAAGCGGACGATCTCCCCATATCTCCCCCCGTATCTCCCCGTATCTGCCAGTGCGGGCGCCTAGAAGCGGACGATCTCCCCATATCTCCCCCCGTATCTCCCCGCATCTGGCAG